TCTCTTCCTCTCCTTTCTCTCTTGCTCTTCTTTCTCTCTTCCTCCACTTCCTCTCTTCATCTTCTTTTTCTCTTCTTCTTATTCTTTTGTTCTTCTTTCTCCCTTTCCATTTTTTCGTTCTTTCATTTTAATTTTAAATTCTTCTCGTTTCTTTTCTTTGACATCGCTTTTTTTCATTTTTTTTTCTTTCTCTTCATTTCCTTTTCCTGTTTCTTTCTTTTTTCCGCACAACTTAAAATTTCCTGCGAGCAAACTGAATTCCTATAGCGTAAACGTTTTCGTCGAACAGTAACGCACGCAAACTTTTAAGCCACAAGGCGCGCGCACGCGAGCCTGCTGTACTGTGTACTGCAGGTGACATAACCTCACAAACGCCCACTACTGCAAAGAAATGTGAGGTGTCCATATTAATGCACCGTCTCATAATGAAAGATGCGTTGCAGTTGAAGAAACATTACTACAAAAATGTATCACAAGACGAATAGACACAGACCAATACGGATGGAGAATACTCATAGACTACCAAACTATGCGACTTGCATACTAAGGACAGGTGCACGACGTACGGCGCAAGTTAATCCTGAAGCAAGTTAAACAGGAAATGTTTAAATAAATACGACGCGAGCAAATGCAAATAATGCATCTGTTGTCGAATATAAATAAAACTCTAAAGTTACAATAGTGAAACATTAATTTATTGTTTTTATTCGCAAAAATTAGTCGACGTCTGCTGATCGGAAGCTACTTCAGGCTAGACAATTTTCGCCGACAGATGGCGTTAAAAGCGGTACGCAATATCTCTATGCGCCGTAAAAATGTAACAGTGAACAACCCAGAAGTTTGCAAGTGAGGACATGTCTTTAATCGTGACTTGCGAATAAAATGTTAGTAATGTATCTGTAATTGAATATAAATAAAATTTCAAATCCTTAAATGTGGAAAATTAATTTATTATATTTACTTACAAAAATTAGTCAATGCTCTGCAGATAGATACCTACTTCAGGCTAAACAGTTTTAATCTACAGATGGCGGTGAAACATGTGATCTACACATGCTAGATAAAACAGGAATCCACATCATTTCTACGCGCCTATTCGTGATGATTCGCGCTCCGTGACACGGCGATTCGCGCTCCGTCACACGCTGATTCGCGTTTCGTGACACGGTGATTCGCGTTTCGTGACATGTTGATTCTCATTTCGTGATGCGGTGATTCGCGTTTCGTGGCACGGTGATTCTCGTTTCGTGACACGTTGATTCTCGTTTCGTGACATGTTGATTCTCCTTCCGTGACATGTTGATTCTCCTTTCGTGACACCGTGATTCGCGTTTCGTGACATGTCAATTCTCATTTCGTGACGCGGTGATTCGCGTTTCCTGACATGTTGGTTCTCGTTTCGTGTGGATGAAGTAGCACTCTGCTCGTGTTCGCAGCCCGTGGTGAGCGACCCGGAGGCTTCTTCGGAGCGTGAGCTGGCGGCGGAGGCTGCGCCCTCGCCCGCGCCGTCGCCCGCGCCCGCGCCAACGCCCACGCCCACGCCCACGCCGGCGCCCGCGCTGTCGCCCCCGCCAGCGGAGCCACAGGTCAGTCTCCGGCCCAGCTGTTGGTTCCGCCTTCTAACGTGATTGATAGGGATGGTTCGGGTTGGTCCGCTTTCAAAGACGGTTCATTAAGATTCAGTTTCTGTTCAGTTCCTGAGATTCAGTTCAGAACCTGTTCAGAGAGAAACGTGAAAGACTCGACCCTTGGAACTAGTCAAAGAACGGTATTACACTGTAAAAGATATTTGACAAATATCCTTGATGAAGAACTTCGTGGAAGTTTCTTTGAGCAGGAATCTTTGACAAAGAAATTTGACGAACGTAGTCCATTTGGTCCAATATTTTACTATGTGGTTTTACTCGCGATTCGAGATGGATCACGCTCAAATAGTTGGGTTTGGGCTACTTTATGCTTAATAATAACTAATCTACGGTATTGTAAAGGAAATAATCTCCACAAAGTTTTAATAATTTTATTAACAACTTTCCAGAGTTAACTTTCGGGAAAAAATGTTCCCATCCTCAGTGGATCTCTAGCAAAATGGAGAAATG